GTCAAACAAACATACACAATAAACACAGTCAAACAAACATACACACATAAACACAGTCAAACAAACATACACACATAAACACAGTCAAACAAACATACACACATAAACACAGTCAAACAAAGGAACAAAAACAAAAAGGAACAATCAATCCCACGAACATAATTTCTATCAATCATACACATCAACACACACAGACACGTACGTAAGCATACCTAAACCACACAAAGGTCCCTCCCCCTCCCTCCCAACAAGAACTTACCTGCGGACGAGACGCGCCGTAGTTGTCGTAGGTCGGATAAGCCCCTTTGGTCTCGGTCTCGCCAGTGAAGTCTTCCTCCTCCTGACGAAGTGAGTCGTTCTGCCTGACGTAGGAGTTGTAAGTGTTGCCTTCCGTTGCGAAGTCGTACTCTGGGTAGTTGTCTAAGTAGGTGCTGTTGTTGGCTTGTGAGTCGTAGTTTCCGAAAGTGTCCTGCCCTCCGGTTTCCCTGCGAAGGTTGGAGATGGGGGTTGGAATCGTAGCATGGGAAGTCAGCATTATATATATATATATATATATATATATATATATATATATATATATATATATATATAGAGAGAGAGAGAGAGAGAGAGAGAGAGAGAGAGAGAGAGAGTTATAATTATTTTTTCTGCAAAGTTGGCGTAGGGTGATGAAAATAGTGGCATTAGTTGGATGCATGTATTATTGTTACAGCGTCTTCCTCTGCAGTGTTGGAATTCATTTACACACTTTTATAACCACTGATAACTGTTGAAAATTATTCACATGTGTATAATTATAAATGAACGATTAACTTATAATTAACTTCCGGGAAAGTGTACAAAACTGGTAGCACTTTTTTTTTTTTTTTTTTTTTTTTGCAAGGAGGGGATTGGCTGACGAAAGAGGATCGTTACTTGGACGTAAAATTATTGATAAATACTCTCTCTCTGCAAGGTTAGGGATGTGGGGCGGCATGTATAATTACTGAAGTCTATTTTGCTCTGAGAATGCAGGACGAAATATATGCTATTATACATTGCGTAAGGTATATATACAACTATTAATAACAAAAAAAAAAATCTGCAAAGGTAGTATCACATGCATTATAAACACATATAGATATTGATAAATATCGTAACATTACTATTAACATAAAATTAATTCCAGATATGTATAATCATGAATGAATATTCCTGTTCTGAATAATGGATTGCGATCTGATAGTACAACATATGTGTAAACATTCATGAACTTGACATTATAGACAAACAGGTGATTGGCGGGGTATAGTTTCCTTATTTCGTCTGCCATTTTCCCCATGCAATACCAATATAAACACATACCAAGGATGAATATTCAAAATCTCTTAACGAAAAGGACGAGTGAGCATTTTATATATATTTTTTTTATATTTTAAGACAGCATCTCGATAATCGCCAGTTTTTATAGTTACTGATCACCGCAATTTTCTCTCCTTTTCTTTCAAACAGAATGAAAGCCTTAATAATAAATCCCATTGTATCATTACTTCCTAGAGGTAACCTTATTATTAGCTCAGGCATGCTAACAATATGATATTATAATGGTTTAATAAGGACTGAATATAGATAGATAGATAGATGGATAGATAAATAGATAGATAGATAACTCCAGTATACGCATTTAAACTTTTTATTATATGTATATGTTGGATGTGATTTAAAACTTAATTGTGTCATTTCCTTTACAGATAAAATCAAACTGGCATCAGAGCAGTTTTATGATTAGGTTTAGATGCAGCTGTACCGTCTGCTTAAGTAAATACAATCTACCCAATAAAATTCTTAACTATGAATGCAACTTTCGATTAAATAAACAGATCTACACTGTATTTTGGAGGCAGATGGTGATTTTAAGCCATCTGACCTTAGAAAAAAAAATACAAAATATGTTTAGTAGCTGTGGGATACTACCGTGGCAGTTGAAAGACGATTAAAGGACATGGTAGGAGTTAGGCAGACAACATGAAACTTTTTTTCTCTCTCCTTAATATATTGTGTATATTCACGCACACACACACACGCTCATACACACGCGCAAACACTCATACACACATATACATACACACACACACACACACACACACACACACACACACACACACACACACACACACACACACACACACATATATATATATATATATATATATATATATATGTATGTATATATATTTATATATACATATATGTACACACACACACACACACACACACACACACACACACACACACACACACATACACTCACACACACACATATATATATATACATATATATATATGTATATATATATATATATATATATATATATATATATATATATATATATATATATATATATATATATATATAAGGAGACACAGAGAGGGAGCGAGAATTAAATATGGATTATTAGTATTATCATTATAATAGGTACATCATCATCATCATTGGGGAGCTAACGCCGGCGGGAGTGCATATCGCGCGTGTGTGTGTGTGTATGTGTGTGCATATATTATACTATCACGTACGCGTTGTACTGGAAGGAGGGATCTGGGCGGCTGTAGGCGTCGTATGTACTGTAATTATTGTTGTACTCTGTCCCGCTGATGGGATCGCCGTAGTAATTGTCAGCTGTGTAGTCTTGCGTGTATCCTCCGTTGTAGTCTTGAGAATAGCCTCCAGTGTTGTCTTGAGTGTAGCCTCCTGAATAGTCTTGAGCGTAGCCTCCGGTGTAGTCTTGAGCGTAGCCTCCGGTGTAGTCTTGAGCGTAGCCTCCGGTGTAGTCCTGAGTGTAGCCTCCGGTGTAGTCTTGGCTATAATTATCTAAGGACGGATTCGCTTGGACTGTATTTGTTGTGCTGTCACCGTAGCGGCTGTTGAGGGGAAATCATGACGCAAGGTTACAAGTCTGGATGTTCTTATTAATGATAATGATGAGATAAGAAAGGAAATAAAACAGAGAGAGAAAAGAAAATATGTTAAAAGAAGCGGTAATAGTGGTAATAATGGTAGTAGTAAAATTAGTAGTGATAATAATAATAAGAGTGGTGATTATGATAATAATAATAATGATAATAACAATAATGATAATAATAATAATGATAATGATAATAATAATATCAATAATAATAATAATAATAATAATACTAACAATAACAATAATGATAATAATAATGATAATAATGATCATACTAACAGTAGTTATAATAATAACGATTATTCATAATAATATCAACAATGATAAAAAAATACAATGATAATGATAATAATAATAGTAAAAGAATAAGCATTGACAGTGAAAGAAATAGTAGCTGTAGTGTAGTAATGAAAATAATAATAGTAATAACAACAATAATAATAGTATGAATATGAATGACAATGATGATAATAATAATAATGAAAAAGGTGATAATAGCAATAGAATGAGAATAATAATAATGAGAATACTAATGATGATAATGATAGTGATAGTAATAATGATAATAATAATAATAATGATGATAAAAATAAAGATGATAATGATAACAATAATAATGATAATAATAATAATGTTAATAATAATAATAATGATAAGTATGATAATGATAATAGTAATAGTAATTATACCAATGATAATAACAAGATTTGCTATGATTTTTATTATTATTATCATCATTACCATCCTTATGACAACACAAATAATATGAAATTTATGTAAAATATATTAATCGTACGTAAAACTATCTACCCCCTAATTCTTTGTCCTTTTTTTTCTCCAACCCCTAAAATTACGACTTCAGAATGTCCCTGGCCTGAAATTCAGCTCCTGAGGACAAGACCCCCTCCGGAGTATGAATGTAGAACGCCATCTGTAATTCTGGAAGCGGTAATAAGGACGAAAATAGAATCCAAGGGTAATGGTGTGATATTCCGCTGCATTAATATACTGTCAGATCTGGAGAGAAGAAAAGAAAAAAAAGAATGAAAAGAAAATTGTGGGGAGGACGAAGAAAAAGAAGAAGAAGAAGAAAAAAAAAACGGTCAAGGACGTATTATAAGTAACCAAATTTAGAAGAAAAAAAAAGCTTGCGTCGATCAATATCTCTCCTATCATTAACATCCTCCATATGTTGAAAGACGTGAAGAGAGTTTAAGATGCTTTCAGATATGTTCAATAAGAACATGTCTGAAAGCACCTTAAACTCTCCTCATTATCATTATTAACCAGTATTTAATCAAAGGCATCTTGATAACATGTTTAGAGTTAAGACATATATCATATCTTTCCTTCTTTGTTATATATATATAGCAGGCGTTAAGGTCATCAGTAACCCAGTTAATAGCGTGACGAAATGGACCATGCTATTATTCGACTATCCGCTTAAAGACGAAACAAAAGGGAGAGAGAATGAGAGAAGAGAGAAGAGAGTTGGGGGTGGGGGTACTGACAGGTAGGCGGAGAGGGAGTGGGAGGGAGGGAGGGAGGGGAAGAAAAAGAGAGAGAGGTTACTAATACAGAAAGAGGGAGAAAACAGAGGCAAGTGAGAGAGAACGAGAGATAGGTTAGTAATACAGAAAGAGGGAGAGAAAGAGAGAGAGGTTACTGATACAGAAAAAGGGAGAAAACAGAGGCAAGTGAGAGAGAGTGAGAGATAGGTTAGTAATACAGAAAGAGGGAGAAAAGGGAGAGTTACTAATAGAAAAAGATGGAAAAAATAGAAGGGATGGGAAGGGAGGAGAGAAATAGAGCTAGAGAGAGACAGAGAAAGAGAGAGAGAGAAAAAAAAGTTCTTACAAAATTTTTGTTTGTAGAAAAAACTAGGGAAAATCCGAAATCTGATTCAGATAAGCTTTAAATTGGTTTGAATAAGTCGGTATACACACGTACCTTGGGTAATGAAAATAAGAATATATAATCAAATCTGAAAACTTGGTTACAAGAAAGAAGAGATCTGATTTGCTTTCCTCGTGTGAATTTATATATATATCTAAATCATACACTCATGAGCACACTTATTATATATGCACGGACGTATGTACATACACATATACCAATACACAGACCGACACAGCTACACACGCACAACTACACACACATACACACACTCCTCCCCCCTACACGCATACAAAACAATCTTACATGCACCATACACAAAACAAATACACACACAGGCAAGACTCCGTATATTCACATGTTCACATATTGTATGTATGTGTCTTAAATATCACGTAGACACAGACCTTAAATTTAACTGTAACGAGACCACCTAACAAACCTTTAGAAGTAATTTGGAAAACACAAAGACCGACCACTGAGATCGCACCTATATTTTTACCCTCTCCCCCTCTCCCCCTACCGCCATCTCATGGGACCCTCGCGTGCTTAATGGGTCTTTAAAACGATCCCCACGACAGCTTAATTACTCTGGATATACTACGGTCTACGCGGTGGAAGAGTATACCCAAGGATATGTTAACTGCGCTTGTCAAGACGAAGCAGAAAGGAAGAGAGAACGGACACGAGGGGGAGGGGGGAGGGGGAGGGGGGCGCGAGAGGTGGCGAGCCGGGACAATTTTGGGGGAAATTAAACCTTCAAGAACGGAGACGTGAGAAAGGATGGTCGCCTGTATATAAAGCCTGGACGCTAGTTGTGTGTATGTATATATACACACACACGTGTATGTGTCTCTTTATATATATATATATTTACACACACACACACACACACACACACACACACACACACACACACACACACACACACACACACACACACACATATATATATATATATATATATATATATATATATATATATATATATGTATATATAGTATGCATTGTATGTTTACATACACATGTATACATATGTATCAGCACAGAAAATTAAAATACTTTTAAAAAGAATACAAAAGCAAAAAATCCCTACAATTAAACAAATAAATAAAATAAAAAAAAGGTAATGGTTAAAACAAATGAATGTGCTAGACATCAAAGGTCATATAACACCATGATAAAGTATTGTGGTGAAAAGGGTAAGAAATGAGTTAACGATTAGGATAAGTGGACAGAAGAAGGGGATGAAGAAGACGAAGAAAGGAAAAAGGGGGGAGAAGAAAAGACCACGCAAAGTTACTCAAAGCGAGGTCCGAGATCCAAGGCGCCGTAATCAAAATAAAGCGATAGGGTGGGGCTTGGTGGTTAAGGCTCCGAGGAATTTAACATTTTTTTCTGCTTTGATGAGAAGAAAGCTCATCTGAAAGCAAAAAACAATGAAAAAAAGGTAAAAAAAAGTAAAAAAATAAAAATAACGCAATAGAATAATGAAAGAAGAAATCACAAGAAAGGGGATGTAACCACAACACTAAAATACTCTCCGTTAAGCTAGGGATGAAATACCTGCTGACTGATGCCACACAATAATTATCCTAATATAGTAGTGGTAGTAGTAGCAGTAGTAGTAGTAGTAGTAGTAGTAGTAGCAGAATTCTTCATGTGCACGTGACGTCACACTGTTTCTTCAAACCAGACGTCCGCCATGTTGAAAGATAAACAAGATTGCGACACTTGTGGGAGTTGCTTGATATCTTTCCGTGATATCTTTCAGCTTCAATAGCCTTTCTACTCTAACAATGCCCACTTTGTGTGCAGTATATAATTGTAGTAATAAAGATAAAGGTTTTTTTCAGAATACCGAAAATAATAAAAAAACAGAGACAAAAGTGATGAAGAACTTTCCAGTAAACGTCGCGCGTTTGGTTGAAACACATCCATCGTAAAGATCTTAATGAGGAGAAACCACAAATACTGAACTTTCGTTGTCAAAAGAACGATCAGCAAAGAAAGCAAAACTTGCTTTAGAAGCTTCACAAGCACAAGAGCAAGAGATAGATTCGAATGAGCAAGGTAAACACTTTAATAATTCTATTCGAGTTATTTGGCAATGTAAATATGAAATAAAGCAGTATTATAAGTATTGCAAGGACAACATTGCCATCTATTCCCTTTTTCGCTGTGAATGATTAACTCGACCATGAACAAAAATTCTGCCGTCTTTCAATTGCTTGGTCAGAAGAGTGTTAACCCAGCCAGATATGAAGAAGTTGTAGGCTTCAAGACATTTATAGGCCTTCATTTGCTCTCCGGTTGCCCACGAGGTTTGTAGCCCCAGGTAGTTCACGATATCAGGGTATTCTAAAGCCGGTAAAGCTCTCCAATCTCGGTTGTAATCGGACGCTTTTAACATGTATGGATCGAGGCCACATATTTCTACTTTTTTTCTCGGAATCTTGCCTTAGCAGAGGATTCTAAAGTGGAGTAATACGCCGAAAAAGACGGAGATGTAACACTATTGCTTGAACGAGAAGCCATTTTGAAAGCTTGTATATCATCCAACATGGCGGCGGTCGGCTACGTCATGGTTTTTAGTCACGTGGTTGCACACGAAGAATAGTAGTACTAGTAGTAGTAATGATGATAATGATAAAGATAAAAA